TCCAAAAATTTATATGTTTATACTTATATCAAATAAGAATGCTTTGCAAAAAAATGCAATGATTGGAGTCTGAGAACAAAAAAACCCTAAAATTTGAGCTACACTTGCGCCAAACGTGAGAGCAACAAGCTGATAAAATATTTTTTCTACTATTCTCAACCAAGTATTCATCGATAAAATTTAAATCTCGCGCAAAAAAAAAATTTTTGTGTTAATTTTAAAATTTGTCTTTAAATATAATATTAGTCAAAAATAGTATAAAAATTATTTTATTAACTTGCTGCTCTCACGTTTGGGGCAGGTGTAGCTCAAATTTCAAGGTTTTATATATATATATATATGTATATATACATATATATATATATATATATATATATTATACTTGTAATATTTTTCAATATATTTTTAATCTTTCTTTTTATACAAATTTATAATATAAATTTGTATAAAAAGAGGACCGTCAATATTATTGAGGGACCTGAGCGGTTAAAAAATTAATGGAGGTTGTGATAAAATTTTCTTTCAATAACTATTAGTATGTAAAGATTCCACCTCAATTTGTGGAATAATTTTTTAAAGGTCTTTATTTTGGAACGCTTGGAGATTATTATATGAAATTAAAAATTTATCGATAAATATAAATTTAGTTCAAAATAGTTTAAAAATAGTATTTTATCAACCAGTTGCTCTCACGCTTGGGGCAAATATTCCTTATAAGTATAAGCAAATATATGGTTAGAGTTTGTTCCATGTCTGAAAGTTATGGTTAGAGTTTGTTCCATGTGTGGAAATTAGCTTAAACATCAAAAAAATGCTGCATTAACCTCAAATTAAAACAAAACTTTAAAAAATATATTTGACCATTTTACTTTTCAAATCCTAATACCTTTTTTTAGTTAACAATTAATTATAAGTGAACAGTTATTAACTATAAATATAGTTGTGGGGTTTTTCAAAAAATAATATTAGATTATGCAGGGTAACATTGACAGAAGCTCTCATCACGTAAAGTTACAAGCTCATATAGAAAAAAACTCGGAAAAATTGTTGTGCATAGTTACATAAAAAGTATTAATAAAGCCAATCCAATAAGAACGGAAAGCCTGGAATTGATTGGATTCGTGGTTTGGAGAAGAGGTTTACACGTCTGGTTGGACACTAATCCAACCCGACGTATAAACTTCTTCCTTTTCCCGCTAATCTTACGTGTGCAGGCAATGTTAACGTAGTTGTTTGAGAAACTAATAGTTGTTATTAAAAAAATTAATCTACAGAACAAACCATAAAATAATTGGTGTGAATTTCAAACCGACATAACCTAGCAATAAATTCTCTGCAAACCTAGATTAAAATTCCAAACAAAAAGTTTGTACTTTAATTAAGACGGGTATGCTGCTTGGAACCAGTCAATTTTTATCACCTGACTTTGTTTATAAACATTTAGTCCATAGGCAGTCCAAGCGAGACAACACAAGCAATCAATTACATAAATAATAAGAGCTCAATATCAATAAAATCCACAAATTCAGCAATTCACAATGTTAGGAAATTCTGACTCCAAGAAAGCAAATAAAAGCGGTACTTTGGCAGAATCTTATAAAAGAAAAAAAATAACATCTAACCGGTTTTTTGCGACAAGACCTGAAGGTCTTCTTTGAGTATCTGCATTCTTTATTTATTTCTTGACAATTATTTCTTTTATGAATTTTCTAGAAGTCTGATGAGTCTCATGCACGATAAAAATAAATGGAATTAAGCGAAAAAATAAATAAATATGATTATTAAAAAGCAATAAACCAAATGTTACAAAATCAGATCAAAGAATACTTTTTTGCATAAAGTTAAAATTTATAGGTGAAATTGTTGGATAATACTGGTTAAAACCAAGAATCTTTTATTGTTGTTTCAAAATTTAAAATAACAATAGAATTTTGTATCTTTACCAAAAAGAATGTCATAAAGTTCAGCAAAAAATGACAGCTCTCCAAGACTTTTGTCAGAATCAAATTTTTTTGAGTCGTTAATGTGCTTTAAAGCTTAATATTTTGATAAGATTTGCTAAATTTTTATTTATAACCCTACTTTTTATATCTTTAAGGGGAACTGAAGTTAATTGATAACTTAGAAGCTATAACATTTTGTTATGTTTTAAGGGATGTTTAATAATTTATTATATTAATAATTTTTAAAAAGTAAACTTTTGGTTAGTGCTAAGAAAAACATACTTATCATTCATGCATTTTATCATTCATCTCATTTTTTCATTGTCCCACAATCTTTAATGTTTTTGCATATATTTTTTTTTTTTTAATTATTTTTTTGTCTAATAATTACCCAGTATTTTGTAATAATTTTTAATACTGGGCACTTTAAAGGATTTGCTATTTTAGACAACTTTCAGGTCATTGTTTTGAACCATCTTATGACCAGTTTTCTATAATGGCTTGATAATAAACCAGAACACACGTCAATTATCATGTGATTTAGTTTTCTAAATCACATATTATAGTAGACGTACGTCTACTATCATGTGATTTAGTTTTCTAAACCAGACCAGAACAGAAACCAGATATTTTTGATAACACGCTTTAACATATATTTTACCAAAAAGTGTGGACTCAGAAATATAGGGTGCTGATTTTTTGTCATACCTGCAAATAGCTTGCCAAATCAAAGTTATTTTAGCAAACTTATCATTTTTTGTGTATTTAAATTTCTTACCTGTTTTTGCTCTATATTTAAAATTATAATAGACAGCACCAGGAATTTATATTATATTATTTAATATAAGTTTCATGATTTTCAATAATTCAGAAATTTTCAGAAATTTAGTTGTCATACAACTTTCTTCAGTGGGTTCTTATCTTTTTTTAAATTTTAGAACAGTTAGGCACTTTTTGTGATTTTGAAAAAGCTTAAAAAACATGTTTATATCAAATTTTAACGACAAAACAATGAGAAAATCCTCATACTTTTGTGTTCCTTTAGTGAGAAGGGTCTTGCGGCACCCCAAAAAAATATTTTATTCAAAAGTTTTCAAACAAGTTTTATATCTTGAAAAACTTTTTTTTTTCCATTACCAGATTTACATTTCATTGATTTTCTTTAGAAAAAACGTTAAACAACATGACTAACAATGTAGAAATGTGTTTACAACTTTTTTGCTACTGAGTTCCATAAAATTTGTGCTAAATATTTTTTTTTTTACGTCTTCTTCTTTTGTCATTTTTAAAACTTATTATAAGTTAAATGGGAAAACTAAAATCTTTTTTTGAAATCATTACATGTTGCCAACAAAATACAAACACAATAAAAAGTATATTAATACGACCACTGAAAAAAAATTACGTATTTACTCTTTCACATTTATTTCGTGTACACGCTTTATTATAATTTTTTTATACTTGATATGTCCCGACGGGCATTTGTTTTTAAAAGTTACGTTCTAAATGTGTTTTAAACGTCTTTTAAACGTCTTTTAAACAATAATGTTTAAAAAACGTTTAAAAGACATTTAAAATACATTTAGATCGTAGCTTTTAAAAACAAATGCCCTTCGGGCATTTGTTTTTAAACAATAATGTTTAAAAGACGTTTAAAAGACATTTAAAATACATTTAGATCGTAACTTTTAAAAACAAATGCCCGTCGGGGTAAGATATGTTTTACTCTTTACGAAAAGATTGAAGGATTTTAAGTATTAAAAGTATAACTTATGTTTTGGGAAAATATTATTCTTAATATTCTTTTGATTCTTCAAAATATCTCCAACATTAATTTTGAAAAAAGAAAAACTATTTTCATTTGCGGTTTTTTAAAAAGGAAATGGGTTTGGTCTGTCATAACGCAATTGGTCAGGAAAAGAATTTGGTAACGCAATTGGTTAGAAATTAAAAATTATGAATTATAGTTTAAATGATCTTCAATATAGGATAAATTAGAATAAGTATATTTGTACATAAATTATGTTCACAATCTTGTTTAAAATTCTTTAAAAACTAATCCGGCGTTTTGTAAAAAGTCTTGTATACTTTTATAGAGACCTCAAAACATATTATGCAATAAAAATCTCATTGATTCTTTTAAGAATTCGTGATTGCATTCAAAGTCTTCAAAATCACAGCTCTATAACATTTAAATATCTCACCCCTCCTTTTGGCCCACCCTATTTTGTTCAAAATTGATAAGTCAAAAACAAAATTACATCTAGTTTAGATTTTATTTAAAAAAAAATATTCTTAAAAAAATATATTTATATATAATTTCCGCTCGTGAAATCTAAAATTATTGATAGTATTTTCAAAATTTTTAGAGTTTTAAACCAACTAGTAAAAAAACATAGTACCCATGACAATGATATTAATAGCTAAAGATAATACAAATTATTTTTAATGTTTCCATGGTATTTATTAATGTTTTTTGCTGGCGTTGTTATTATGTAAGCAGTCTGCATTATTACAAATTAAATAAATATATATATACTTAATAGTCATACATTAAACAAAAAATATATAAGCACAAACTATTTTAATGTGTTTGCATCATTGTTATTGAAAAATAAATTATTTCCTGAAATTAAACAAGACGCATTATCACAAGTGCTTAAGTAAAGAAACATTTTAGAGAGGAACTTTGTAAACAATTTAATAAATTTTTTTAATTAAATCGATTAAAACAATATAACGCTATAAACTCTTTAAAATCTTTTAAATAATTTTAAAATAAACTTGATTAATTTAAGACAAACTTGATTTGTTTATAATCCCGAGTATCCTTCTTGTTACCCTTTTAATAAATTGCCGCGAAAGAAGACTACTTAGTTCATAAAAGAGAACCAAAATATAGGTTAACACACGCACATATATTTTTAAATATATATGCGTGTGTAATATATAAGTTATATTGTTTAAGAAATGCCTGAAAATTTTCATGGTCTAAAACTTTTAACGTCGCAAAAGCTATGTTTAACAGATAATAAAAACTTAACGTCTTGTTTTTAGTTGATTAATGCAAACAAGAGGCATAGGGAGCTGAACAGTTTGTGTGAACTAACCGATTAACATTGTTGTGGTTGTTCAAACAAAAAGTTCACAAAGTTGCGTAGGAGTCGTCGATACCTTTGTGAAACAGTATTGCGACTATTTCTGGTGATTTTCCGAAACAATGAAATATTTTTAATGACGCTTTTTATTATTGATTGATTTTTTTATTTTTATAATTGAGATTATTTTAAGATTATTTATCGATTGCTCATCTTCATCGTGTCCATTCATCAAAAACATAATGACAAAACAAATCCAGTAATAGCTCTAATATAAAAGTCTGCATTCCTATTCTTAACTTCAGACGAGAGTGAAGGACGAGAGAAGAAGTCAAATTAAAAAAAAAAAAAAAAAGCAAAGATAAAAATGGATGCTATAAAATTCTTGATTATTGGTTTTGGATTTTTGCTGTTGTTACATATGACGTTTACAAAGCCAACTTTTACTTGTGAAAGTGAATGTAATGGAGAATACGATCTTTGTGATATATCTTCTGAAAACATTGAACAAAAAGCGACATGTTTAAATTCGAGATTACAATGCATGCTAGATTGTTCAAGAAAACAACTAGCAAGGTTAAAGAAACTTACAAAGGTTTGAAAAAGTATCTATTATATACAAAAAAACTTATCAAAAATAGTTGCGCAACGACCTATCCGATGTACCATCTGAAAACATTGAACAAAAGGCGTCGTGTTTATGTTTGAGATTATAATGCGTGTTTAAATGTTCAAGAAATCAACTAACGATGTTTAAAGTATCCGTTATACAAAAAGACTTTTACGTTATTTACAAAGAAAGTTACGTTATAATACTAAGTATACAAAAAGATAATTATTTATGTATTTATAATTTTTTCAATAATTTATTGTCACAAATTTATTAAAGAAGATATAATATTTATAAGTGTAGTATTTTAAATATATATTAAAATATAAAAAAATTTTCTTATTTGAAGTATTAATAGTTTACCGAATAGACGTAATAGATATCGAGAGGGGAAGGTGGAAAAAAAGAAAGGAAACATGGAAACGCATCTGTATCAAAATAATTCACAATCTTAAATTTTTTTTTTGTTTACAACTAGTTTCGCTTCAAATAACTTAGGTCGAACTGTGGCGGTTGTGGTGTTGGAAAAATTATTGCGTTAACAAACGGTAATTTGGAATTTTTAAAACGCAATATATATATATATATATATATATATATATATATATATATATATATATATATATATATATATATATATATATATATATATATATATGTGTGTGTGTGTGTGTGTGTGTGTGTGTGTGTGTGTGTGTGTGTGTGTGTGTGTGTGTGTGTGTGTGTGTGTGTGTGTGTGTGTGTGTGTGTGTGTGTGTGTGTGTGTGTGTGTGTGTAAACTTGATAAACAAACATTAAAATTAAAATAAAAATATTATCACACATAGAAATAATAACCCCCTGATTACATTTTTTTAACATCCAGTTAATTAAGACTAATGTCTTTTATGAAGTAAAAATAAATTAGATAAAATAGCAAGATATATAATACAGCAAAATATTAAAAGTTATTTCATAAAACCTTTTGTAAAGCTGAGAATATCACAGTGCGCAACCGGAAGAGCGTTTAGCGAGAAAGCTCACGCCTCCTTCCTTATAAATGTCGCAAATAGGGAACATCCAGAGTTATCGTGAAACATCAGAACTCTTGATTCCGAAGCAAGTGTTTTAACTGCTGCGCCACAGCTCCACGGCTAATACTGCGTCTGTCCGCCTAATAATAATAAGGTAGATTAGAGTAATATGAGCATCTTAAGTGAAAATTGGAATATTTTTAAAAATTACTCTGCTGGATTTAAAATTTGTGCGTATAAATAAACTTTAGGGATATCTGAACATGATCCACTTAGATATTTGGGTACCCGAAATTTTTTCTTAAAAACACAGAGGTTTTAAAAAAGTAGCAAAAGTGTTTATATTACCCAGACCACTTGGTAATATGAGCACATTAAATTAGCTCAAAAAAATAAGATTAATTAAGTAAAAAAATACCCACCCGACAATTAGAACTAATTTTTGGAATACAATGATTCGTTATTGACAAAACTTATCATTAAAAGATCAAATTTTAAGCCACTTTTTGTTGAAACAATACTATTATGTTTTCCGCAAAAAAAAAAAAAAAAATTAATTCGTTATTTTTTAATTTTTGTAACTCAAAACTTTGAACAATAAAATTTTTTTTTGAATTTAAATTACAGAAAAAATAATTAGTATTGTTAAAATATTAAAATTTTTTACTATATTTTGTTTTTATTCAAAAAACCAATTAAAACCATTAGGACTTAAAACTAGGTAATTTGAATGAAAAACACTGGGTAATTTCAATGAAGAACACTGGGTAATTTCAATGAAAAACAATGGGTAATTTGAGCATGCTCATGCTACACAAAAAATGGCATCTTTAAATAAGTCAAAACTAAATGTTTCTATTATTGTTTTTCAAAAAAAATGGGTTAGGATTATGGATTGGATTTTTAGCTAACACATTTTTCTTTATGAAAAAATTAATTTCATTATTTTAGCACCAAAATTTCGCGCCACAGATTTATTCATGCGCGATGATATTATTTTAACAACGCAAAAAATTCAACAGCGTTTTAATTAGATGATAGCCCCTAATTACTGCATATAAATTTACGCTAATTTTACTGCAGCCGTATTCTCATCTCTCCGTTAAGCTTAACGGAGCGTTTGTCAAAAATTTCATTACAACATTTTTAAGTAAAGAACTGACAAAAACTTTATTTAAATTTGTTTAAATAAAACTAAGACTAAAATAAAACAATTTTATTAAAAAATTATTTTTTTAAAGAATTTTTTTTTTAATGTAGTTAAAAAGAACTTTTTGACAAAAGCTCCGTTAAGCTTAACGGAAAGATGAGAATATGGCCACTGATCACCACATAAAGTCAATTCAAAAAATACAAAGCAGCTTTAACTTCACTGCTTCCATCCAAGAAATTTTTAAATATGCTCATATTATAAAGGTGCTCATACTACCCTAAAATACACTAACAACCTTAAATACATTTCTTATTTTTTTAATGATTTTTATTGCAAAGATTTGGCAAGAAACATTAGGCTGTTAAACACTTAAATCGAGCAACCACTATTACCAAAAAATCCTTTATAGTAAATAAACTTTTAACAGAAAAATTTTGCATCAACTCACACAATAACAACACTATTGCAAACATACAAAAATAACATCTAAAATAAGAAAGTTATAACAACTAAAATAAGAAAGTTGAATACGAATAGTAAATGAAAATGTTATTTAATGATTTATTAATTCTTTTATTTTCAGAAAAAGTATGTATACCGTAAAATCGCCTATGTTCGGTCACTTTATACTTTGAACATTCGTTTATTGCGCATAAATAAAAAAAATTCTGTTTTTTTCCTGAAACATACAGATAATTATATTGATAATTAATATCGTAAAAATAAAAAAATGAAAAATAAAAACTCGATATTTAATTTCAAATGAGAACATCTACTTTGACGAAACTTTTAATACCATTTCATAAGTTCGGTCGCTATATAAATCCTAATATCGCATCACAAACTTAAGATCACCAATAATTAAAACTATTTTTTTAATGTTGTTTTATTGTAAAATGATGATATAATATCCTTTAATACCAGTAACCAAGGAGGGCGTTGCCCCAGGCTCGAAAAAAAAAAGCTTTTTGTAGCGCCATAGAAAACAACAATGAGCACAAAAAAAAATTAAGAGGCTTTTTTAAGTATAAATAGCCCTATAAGCAAAATGAGCTCTAAAGAGCTACTTGAACTCTACGATAAACTCCGCTGAGAGAGTAAACTTTATTATGCGTATATATTATATCAACTTCACTTTTTATATGAAAATAAAACACCCTAACCTATAGTTTTTACTTTCAAGTAATGTAGTTTTCAAGTTATTGCTTTTTAGTTTTCAAGTTTTTAGTTTAGTCATTTAAATGAGTTAAGTAGAATTATTGCATTTATTAAGTTGAATTCATTTCATTTCTCCTTCATTTGTTCTTAACCAAGAGATTTTGCAAAATGCGCGAAATATTACATCAAAGCGCATACGCATAATTGCATAAATACAAACATATTTAAAAACAAGTTTAATGTTTTTAAAAAGAAAAAATTATGTATTTAAATCCTATTTATTATCTGTGATTAAATTGTTTAAATTTTTAACAATACATATTGGTCAAGCAGTATATATTGCTCATGTATAATAGAACAAATTAGGTTTTAAAATTTATACAAAAAAATTATTTTTGTATTTAATATTTATATGTCAACAAACAATGTTTCAAATTTTTTTTATATAGTTTTTCAGTTTTTTTTGTTGATTTATTGAAAACAACGGTTGTATACAGACTCGTGTTTATTGAAAACAACGGTTGTATACAGGCTCGTGTTGATTTACTGAAAACAACGGTTGTATACAGGCCCGTGTTGAGGGGCATGTAAATTTGTAAAACGCTGCTGTAAATTTTTTTATGAATAAATTAGTAATAACGTAAAAGAATATTGGTAAAAATATTGTTTGTTATGTTTTAAATGTAGTGTTAAAATTTTAACAATGAATGCATAGTTATACATAATCATACACTAAACATATACATTATTTTAAATTTAACAATAAAACATTACTTTTGTAGCAAATATGTACAAGAGAATTCCTTTTCATAAGCTATCATGCTCACAGGCCTCCAAGAGAATTGCTTTTCATAAGCTATCATGATCACAGGCCTCCAAGAGAAATTCTTTCCATAAGCTATCATGATCACAGGCTATCATGATCACAGGCTATCATGATCACAGGCTATCATGATCACAGGCTATCATAATCACAGGCTATCATGATCACAGGCTATCATGATCACAGGCTATCATGATCACAGGCTATCATGATCACAGACTATCATAATCACAGGCTATCATGATTACAGGCTATCACGATCACAGGCTATTATGAATACAGGCTATCATGATTACAGGTCTACAAGAGGTTTTCATAAGCTATCATGATCACAGGCCTCCAAGAGATTAAATAGGACAAGCTACAATAGAGCATAGCTCTAATACGGACTCAAGTAGTGGTAATAAAGATTTTGAGATTTTGGAAACTGAAGTACCTCTCCTTTAACTCATGGGTTCACCTTTACCAAAATTACAACCTTTGCAGATACCACTTCCCCAACCACCCGATTCCCAAACACTAATTCCTCAAACATTTCTATCTCCTATACCAGATAATTCATCAGATGTAGCTGCCTTTTTTTCAAGCGACGAAAAAGCAAATATTAGACAAGAGTTGACAACATTCGTGGTTGAGTCTACTCTACCTTAAAAATCAAACAATAAACTATTGTTAAAATAGTTAAACTATTGTTATATAGTTGTTAAAAAAGCATCTGTGTTTCACTAATGAGTTGCCAAAAACATGTAAAACCTAAATAATAACTCTTACAGTTAGAGCAGTGGTGCAAGTATTATTAATAACCTCCAGGTTATTATTTCAATATGAGAGCAAGAATAATACATTCACTTCAAGAAAAACAAAAACATATTTAGTGGATGGCAGCACGAGTCAATTCATGTCATCATTAGAAAAAGTGAGTAATTTGAATTTAGTCTCTGTTTATAAAATTAGTATATTTAATTGGTTTAAGAGCCTGATTCATTAAATTCATATCTAAGTGATTTTGTTGAAGAATGTCTTAAACTACGCAACAAGGGGATTGGTTTTGCAAATAAACAATTTGAGATTCAATGAAACAAATCCACTTATACAAATTGTTTAACTTGATTTGTTTATTACCTAAAGGTTTAATACCATTTGATATACA